TCCAGCTTTTTCTGCTTATGTGGTGCTGAGGAATCGAACCCAGGGCCTCATGCATGCAAGGCAAGCACTCTACCACTGAGCCACTTTTCCAGCCCTGTGCTCTACCATTTTGAGCCACAGTTCCACTTCCATTTTTTTGGTGGTTAATTGGAGATGAATCTCATGGACTTTCCTGCCTGGACTGGCTTTGAACTGTGATCCTCAGAGCTTAGCCTCCTGAATAGCTAGTATTACAAGCCACTGGTGCCTGGTGGTCTTATTTCTTTTGTCCCCCTCTCCTCATCTCTTAAGTAATCTAATTTTTTAGATGATTCAAAGCACACCCTAGACATTGCACCTGTTTTTTTGCATATCCTGTGGTTTTTTTGGATGCCTGAGTGGTCAACAGGTGAGGGTCCTATCTCGGAGAGGCTGTCCTCCCTGCAGGCCCCAAGCTTTCAGTTCTCCATTATTTGGAAACAAAGCAAAATTACAGAGATTTTAGCAAATCACTCCTGAAACCACGTTTCCCATGGTCTGGTTCTAGCTGGGTGGCTCTATGGGGAGATGAAAGTCAGTTCTGGGCTGCCCCTCACCCCTACAGTGGAATTTTGGGAGACTCCAGAAAATAGTTGCTGGGCATCCTCTCATGAGGAAAGTTCTGAGCAAGTTGGGTCAGCTCTGCCTGTTACACTGCTTCTCTGGGCTGCCATCTTACATAGGATTTAAGGGGACTGCTTCAGTTTCCCCACCCTCCTAAGAGACAAATGGAAACCAGTACTTGCTTTGATATGCATGGAGGTGGGCAATCTCTGGGTTAAGAATTCTCTCCAGGCACACATCCTTAGCTCATGGCCTCTCCAGAGCCTGCCACTTGGCCAGGGAGCAAGGTGCATTGACTTACAGGCATTGTCGCAAAAGGCTGAGTTCAGGGGATGGTGGCTTGCAGGCTGGGCAAGCAGACAGGGACGGACACAAGTTCCCAGCCTGCATGTTGGAGCTGGCCTCCAGCAGTAGGCCTGGGGGGGGGCAGCGTCTCCTCCTTTCTCCACACCCCACAGACGTGGATGTGGGATGTGGGGAGAGAGATGACAGGGGCTGTGCTGAGGCTGGGTGAAATCAATTGGACTCAGTTCTTGGCACTGGAGCACTTTCTCTGAGTCCTTGTAATTTCTAGGTGGCATTAAGAAAAAGAAGAAAGCTTCATTGTGGTCTTGGACCCGTGGAAGTTATATGATGCCGTGTGTGTGTGTGTGTGTGTGTGTGTGTGTGTGTGTGTGTGTGAGAGAGAGAGAGAGAGGGGGGGGGGGAGAGTCAGGGATCAAATCCCCTCCTTTCAAATGCCCCATAAATGCTGTACTGCTGAGCCACATCCCACCTGTGTCCAGCACCAGTGACCTTTGTGGTGATGTCTTTCCAACCTGGCTGTGTTCTTTTTTTTTTTTTTTTTGTCGGTCGTGGGGCTTGAACTCTGGGCCTGGGCGCTGTCCCTCAGCTCAGCTCTTCAGCTCAAGGCTAGCGCTCTACCACTTGAGCTACAGCGCCACTTCCGGTTTTCTGGTGGTTTATTGGATATAGGAGTCTCATGGTCTCTCCTGCCCGGGCTGGCTTTGAACCGCGATCCTCAGATCTCAGCCTCCTGAGTAGCTAGGATTACAGGCGTGAGCCACCAGCGCCTGGCTTTTGGCTGTGTTCTTTGGTGTACATTGTGCCTTCTGTTTCTGACAGTAGAAAAGCAGGCATGAAATGTCCTGGATGCTGTGGCATGCTGTGGTAACTGGGCACCATGGTGGGACAGGAAGCCTTCTGGTGCGCTGGGGTGTGCAGACCTGTGCTCTCTCCAAGGCAGCACAGTTGCCATGGCAGCACAGAAGCTTTCCCAAACTCAGGCCTTCCATTCCCACAGACACACATGGAAAGCAGAGAGGCAGAAGGGGCAGGATGGAGTGTAGGAGGGCCTTGGAGACACAGTTGCTGGGAAAGGTGGTAGAAATGATTGTGGGTAGCCAGATGTGATGGCACCTGTATGTAATCACAGCACTCAGGAGGTGAGTGCAGGAAGAGCTGAAGTTCCAGGTCAGCCTGGGCTACATAGCATGGCTCATAAAACCCCCAAAACGCAGCCCAGGTGTTGGTGGCTCATGCCTGTAATCGTAGCTACTCAGGATGCTGAGATATGAGGATTGTGGTTCCAAGCCAGCCTAGACAGGAAACTCTGAGATTCCCATCTCCAAAATAATCTGCAGAAAGCCGGGCAGGAAGTGTGTATCAAGTGTGGGAGGACCGCCTGAATAAGCATCCTGAGTGAACTTGAGGCCGCAAGTTCAAACCCCAGTACTAGCAAAACAAAAGAAAACAAAACATCAAAAACAAGAAAACAAAGCTGGGCTTCAGTGGCTCACATCTGTAATCTTAGCTACTCAGGAGGCTGAGATCTGAGGATCACAGTTCAAAGCCAGCCTGGGCAAGAAACTCCCAGGAAACTCCATGAGACTTTTATCTCCAATAAAACACTCAGAAAACCGGAAGTGGTGCTGTGGCTCAAGTGGTAGAGTGCTCACCTTGAGCTGAAGAGCTGAGGGACAGTGCCTAGGCCCAGAGTTCAAGCCCCACTGACATAAAAAAAAAGAAAAAAGAAAATGCAGCCAGGTGTCAGTGGCTCACAGCTGTAATCCTAGCTACTCAGGAGGCTGAGATCTGAAGATTGCGGTTCAAAGCCAGCTTGAGCAGAAATGTTCATGAGACTCTTATCTCCAGTAAACCACCAGAAAACCAGAAGTGGCGTTGTGGCTCAAGTGGTAGAGTGCTCCCCTTGAGCTGAAGAACTCAGGGATAACTCCTACGCCCAGAGTTCAAGCCCCATGGCCAACAAAAAAAAACAAAACCCAAACCAACCAAACAAAAATAAACAACATTTGTTGCTGACTGCGGAAGCCACTAGTAGTTTGAGAAGCTCTTGTGTTTCTGGTCTTTTTTGTTGTTGTTGTTGGTCATGGGGCCTGAACTCTGGGCCTGGGTGCTGTCCCTCAGCTCTTCAGTTCAAGGCTAGCGCTCTACCACTTCAGCCACAGCACCACTTCCGGCTTTTTCTGCTTATGTGGTGCTGAGGAATCGAACCCAGGGCCTCATATATGCGAAGCAAGCACTCTGCTACTGAGCCACCTTCCCAGCCCTGGTCTTTTTGTGTTGTGTGTAAATCTAAAAGGAGTTTGGAGAATTTCAGGTCTGGCTTATCTCTGTGCTTGGCAAGGCTGGGCTGGCGGCTGCCCTTTGGGATCCGGTGGAAACTTGACTGTCCCCTTTATTCTCAGGACATGGCCAACAATGCTGCCACGCCTCCCGTGGCAGCTGAGGTAGTGGGTGATGCTCACCTGCTGGGCTTCTCTGATGAGATCCTCCTGCACATCCTGAGCCACGTGCCCAGCACAGACCTGGTGCTGAATGTGCGGCCCACTTGCCGCAAGCTCGCAGAGCTGTGCCTGGACAAGAGCCTGGTCCACACTGTGCTGCTGCAGAAGGACTATCAGGTGAGCTGTGGGGCACTGAGGGCTGGGAGCTACGTGCTTGGTCCCTGGGGGAGGAGGTTGTGGAATTGTGGAAGAGGCTCTGGAGGGAAAGTGGGAGGCTGGCAGGAGTGGAGTCGTGGCTGATGGGAGCCACTGGGGTTAGGCTTTCCCATCAGTGGACATGGCTCTCCTGTGTGGCAGTACACATGGCAGTGAGTGAGGGTTGCTGTTGTTCTGCATTTAAATCTGATGCTTGGCCCTGCAAAGGAAGTGGCACACTCAGTGCCCATGCACAAGGTGCTCAGGAGGATGGAAAGTACCGCTGTCTTGTGGCCCACAGTCGCAGAGGACACCTTGATAGCAATGGAATCCAGGCATCAAAGAGCCTGCACCAAGGCTCAGTCAGCCTGTTTATCACAGGGTGGTGCTGTAGACGGCAGTGTCTACCTGTAAGTGGCTGGATGTAGGTCTCCCTAAGCTAGTCCAAGCCAGGGATTTCTATTTTTGTTTTTGTTTATTATTTTATTTCTGGCCTTTTGGTGGTTAATTGAAGATGAGTCTTATGGACTTTCCTATGCCCAGTGACTTTGAACCTCTATTCTTAGATCTCATCTCCTGAGTAGCTAGGATTGTTTTGGTTTTTTCAGTACTGGGGATTGAACTCAGGGCCTTTGCTTACCTCCTGAACCACGCCCCCAGTCCTTTTGCTTTTAGTTTTCAGATAGTCTCACATTTGTGCTCAGGTGGTAGCAGACTGTGATCCTCCTACCCCTGCCTCCTGATCAGCTGGGGTGACAGGTGTGCACCACCACACCCTGCCCCAGCCAGGCTTTTGAGGAGTATTTACTCAGATGAAAGAAAAGTAGAGGGTTGCTGCAGCTGAGTGAGCTGCGTGGCTCTGGAGTGAGAGAGGCCTCTACCTAGGTGCGCCGGAAGTAGCTGGAGGAGGCTCTGTGGAGTGGTCCACTTTTCAGTAGCTGGGACTGTTTTTTGGGTGGCTGTCCTGGGGCTTGAACTCGGGCCTGGGTGCTGTCCCTGCGCTCTTCAGCTCAAGGTGAGCACTCTACCGCTTGAGCCACAGCGCCACTTCCAGAGTTTTGGTAGTTAATTGGAGGTAAGAGTCTCATGCACTTTCCTGCCCAGGCTGGCTTTGAACTGTGATCCTCAGATCTCAGCCTCCTGAGTAGCTAGGATTACAGGCGTGAGCCACCGCGCCTGGCTCCAAGGCCGGCTTTGAACTTTGATCTCAGCCTCCTGAGTAGCTAGAATTATATATAGGAGCTTCAGACACCCAGCTAGCAGCTGAGACTTTTGCCTTGCTTCCTCCTATGTGGTTGTTGTTTTTGCTGATCCTGGGGCTTGAACTCAGGGCCTGGGTGGCATTCCCTGAGCCTCTTTTTGCTCAAAGCTAGTATTCTACCACTTGAGCCATAATGACACTTCTGGCTTTTTCTTTTTTTTGGTTGGTCATGGGGCTTGAACTCTGGGTCTGGGTGCTGTCCCTCAGCTCTTCAGCTCAATGCGCGTGCTCTACCACTTGAGCCATAGCACCACTTCCAGATTTTTCTGTTTATGTGGTGTTGAGGAATGGAACCCAGGGCCTCATGCATGCGAGGCAAGCACTCTACCACTGAGCCACCTTCCTAGCCCACTCTGGCTTTTTTGAGCAGTTTTGTTGGAGATAAGAGTCTCACGGACTTTCCTGTCCTGGCTGGCTTTGAACTGCAATCTTTAGGTATCAGCCTCCTGAGTAGTGAGGATTACAGGTGTGAGCCACTGGTGCCCAGTTTTTCTGTAGTGTTTGTTTTTATCTTTGTTTCTTTGCTGGGTCAGAAACTCAGGGCCTTGGGCTGGGAAGGTGGCTCAGTGGTAGAGTGCTTGCCTCGCATGCATGAGGCCCTGGGTTCAATTCCTCAGCACCACATAAGCAAACAGAAAAAAGCAGGAAGTGGCGCTGTGGCTCAAGTGGTAGAGCGCTAGCCTTGAGCTGAAGAGCTGAGGGACAGCACCCAGGCCCAGAGTTCAGGCCCCATGACTGGATCCCCCCCAAAAAAACACAAAAAACAACAACAAAAAAAAAACTCAGGGCCATGTGCATGCCAAGCAGGTATTCTACCTTTAAGCTGTACTCCAACCCCACTTTCTTTTCTTTTCTCTTCTTTTTTTTTTTTGGTTGGTTGTGGGGCCTGAACTCTGGGCCTGGGTGCTCTCTCTGGGCTCTTCAGCTCAAGGCTAGTACTCTACCACTTAAGCCACAGTGCCACTTCTGGCTTTTTTTTTTTTTTTTTTTTTGCATATGTGGTGCTGAGGAATTGAACCCAGGGCTTCATGCATGCAAGGCAAGCACTCTACCACTGAGCTACCTTCCCAGCCCTTCTTCTCTTTTTTTTTTTTATGTAGGTGATGGGTCTTTAATTTTGGGCCTGGACACCATCTCTGAGCTCTTCAGCTCAAGGGGAGTGCTCTACCACTTGAGCCACAGCACCACTTCCAGTTTTCTGGTGGTTAATTGGAGATAAGACTCTCATGGACATTCTGCCCAGGGTGGCTTTGAACCGTGATCCTCAGATCTCAACCTCCTGAGCAGCTAAGATTATAGGCGTGAGCCAATGGTGCCCAGCAGTGGTTTTTTTTTTATTTATTTATTTGTGTATTTGTTTTTCTTTTTTTGAAATGGAGTTTCAACCACATAGCCTAGGTTGGCCTCAAACTCCTGCTTCAGCCTCCCAAGTGCTGGAATTACAGGTGTGCACCACTACACATGGCTAGAAAACTGCTTCCTACGGTGGCTGTACCACTTTCCATCCCCAAGGATGAGGGAAAGGGAGGGCAGGCAGCTCCCCCGTCCCCCCTCCCCCCAGCTGCACATAGCACCCGTGGGCCCTGGGCTTGCTTGAAAGCGTGAGGTATCCATGCATTGAGGCCCTTGCTGTGGCTCCAACTCCTTCCCTTCCTCTCCTGCCCCATCTCTGCCCGCAGGCCAGCGAGGACAAGGTGAAGCAGCTGGTGAAGGAGATTGGCCAGGAGATCCAGCAGCTGAACTTGGCTGGCTGCTACTGGCTGTCCGGCTCCACCATTGAGCATGTGGCACGGTGCCGCAACCTGGTCAGGGTGAACCTCTCAGGCTGCCACCTGACGTCCCTGCGCCTCTCCAAGGTGCTGTCAGCCCTGGAACACCTGCGCTCGCTGGCCATTGATGTGAACCCTGGCTTTGACGCCAGCCAACTGAGCAGTGAGTGCCGGGCCACGCTGAGCCGCGTGCGGGAGCTCAAACAAACACTGTTCACACCCTCCTACGGTGTGGTGCCCTGTTGCCCCAGCCTGCACAAGCTTCTGCTTTACTTTGAGATCCTGGACCGCACACGTGAGGGCGCTGTGCTCTCAGGCCAGCTCATGGTGGGCCAGAGCAATGTGCCCCACTACCAGAACCTGCGCGTGTTCTACGCGCGCCTGGCCCCTGGCTACATCAACCAGGAGGTGGTGCGCCTCTACCTGGCCGTGCTCAGCGACCGCACACCAGAAAACCTGCATGCCTTCCTCATCTCTGTCCCAGGCAGCTTTGCTGAGAGTGGGGCCACCAAGAACCTCCTGGAATCCATGGCCCGGAACGTGGCCCTGGATGCCCTGCAGCTGCCCCGGTCCTGGCTGAATGGCTCAGCCCTCCTCCAAAATATGAAGTTCAACAACCCCTTCTACTTCAGCTTCAGCCGCTGCACCCTGTCTGGTGGCCACCTTATCCAGCGTGTCATCAATGGTGGGAAGGACCTGCGCAGCCTGGCCAGCCTCAACCTCAGTGGCTGCGTCCACTGCCTGTCCCCAGACTCCCTGCTCCGCAAGGCTGAGGATGACATTGACAGCAGCATTCTGGAGACACTGGTGGCCTCCTGCTGCAATCTGCGGCACCTCAACCTCTCCGCTGCCCACCACCACAGCTCCGACGGCCTGGGCAGGCACCTCTGCCAGCTCCTGGCCCGCCTTGGCCAGTTGCGCTCACTCTCCCTGCCCGTCTGCTCCATTGCTGACTCAGCCCGAGGCCCACCTGCCCAGCCCGTAATGCATGCAGCACCCCGGGGCTTTGGCAAGAAGGTGCGCATCGGGGTGCAGACTTCTGCAGGCCCCTTCCCGGGCCCAGCAGCCCCCCAGCCGGCCTCTGTGTTCTGGTCTCTGCTGAAGAGCCTGCACTTTCTGGAACACCTGGAGCTCATTGGTTCCAACTTCTCCTCGGCCATGCCACGCAACGAGCCCGCCATCCGTAACTCCCTTCCACCCTGCAGCCGGGCGCAGAATGTTGGGGACTCTGAGGTGGCTGCCATCGGCCAGCTGGCCTTCCTGCGGCACCTGACGCTGGCCCAGCTGCCGGGGCTCCTGACCGGCTCGGGACTGGTAAACATTGGCCTGCAGTGCCAGCAGCTGCAGTCTCTCTCACTGGCCAACCTGGGCATGATGGGAAAGGTAGTCTACATGCCTGCCCTCTCTAGCATGCTGACGCACTGCAGGCAGCTGAAGGACCTCAGGTGAGGCCCTTTGGAGGCCTACGGGAGGGTGGTAGGAGGAACTTGGGGCTGGCCTGCAGACCTGATGTGTCTGACACTCCAGGACCTGCCTCAGCCTGTCCTCCGGGCCTCAGAGGTAGGCACAGCCTCAATGCACAGCATGCACCTCTGAGCTCAGGTCTTTGCAGTTATCTGCTAGTTCCTGGGATCTGCTTTGCTAAGGCTTCTCCCATTCCGTAACTCTTAACTATTCTGCCTAGTGGAGAACACTGTTCCTGGACACCAGAACCAGAAAGTGTGGTGGTCCCTTGATTTAACTTGGTGATGCTCAGAGGATGTGTTGCAGTAAGCTGGGAGCTGTGGGGTTGAGGTTGGGGATGATTTGTAGTATGCACAGAGCCCTAATGGTTTGAAAAATCACCTAAACCCAATTGGCTCTGAGCAGCCTGGACTCTGTATGAGGCCAGAGCGATGGGGAGACAAAGTGGGAGAGGCAGGTGGTAACAAGCTGAGTACTACTTCACCCAGGGGTGGAGAGGGTACTGGTGTCCCACAGGGATCAAAAGATGGGGAGGACAGGGTTGGTGCTTGTGGCTCATACCTGTCATCCTAGCTACTCAGGCTGAGATCTGAGGATTGCTATTCAAAGCCAGTCTGAGCAGGAAAGTCTGTGAGACTCTTACCTTCAGTTAACCAGCATAAAGCCAGAAATAGAGCTGTGGCTGGAGTGGCAGAGCTCCAGCCTTGAACAAAAAGAGCTCAGAGACAGTGCTCAGGGCCAGAGTTCAAGCTCCAGGAATGGCAACAACAACAAAAAAAAAAAAAAAAAAGGAGAAGACAGATGAGTTCAGAAGCCCAATGTGGACTCCCAGGAATGAGGCCTGCAAGAAGTATAGGCTTGAGCCTCCAAGGCCTCCTTCCTAGGCTGTGGCCTGGGGCTCCTGGTGATCCTGGACCCAAGTGTTGGGAGGGCCTCTTGCTGGATGTTGGACTGTGCTGCAGGGTTAAAGGCTTCCTTTCCAGTATTTCCCCAGTATCCACCAGCTTCAGATGTATTAGAAAATCTGGACAGATAGAGGTGATGTGATTAGTGGTGCTGGACCTTGGCTTGCGGAGGTGCAGGCTGTGCTGCAAGGGCAACCTGGGAACTCCGTCTCCTTCTGTGAGGCCCAACTGCTGGGGCAGGCCGTCAGGCAACACGGGGCCACAGTTAGTCCAGACTAAGAGGCACTTAGAGCCTGGCTGTTGTTTCCTCAGACAGACAGCATTTGCTGGGGGCCAAGTGTTGAGCTGGCTATCCGCTCCCTGGAGGTTGGTGCCTTCTGTAGCCCACGTCACTAAGGCAGGAAGCTGGGAACAGAACTGAAGTCCTGCCCTCCCCTAGGCCCCAAGGCCTCATAGGACATGTCCTTTGTCACAGTATGACAGGAAGTATGCCAGGTCTGAGCAGAAGCTCGTTCATCCTGTCCTGCTCCTGACCCAGAACTTTCCACAACTGCCTGTGCCCTGCCCTGTCATTGGAACCTGGTCACACTGAGGCTGCCTGGGTCCCTGTTGGCACTGGGGCTTGAAGCCTGGGGCCAGAGCCCAGCTGTCCAAATAGTTGCAGGCTTTGAAGCCTAGGTGTTGTCGGAATTGTCTGCCCCTTGTCCCGGGTCATAGCTTGGACCTGGGCTTGAGTGGATGCAGGGGAGGGGTGGCATCCACACCAGGTCCTCTGCCTCCCATGATGCTTGTGAACTGGACTGCGGGGTCCACACTCCCCCCTACCTTACAAGTCTCGCCAGTTCCAGCTGCCCTTCCATCTAGAGAGGAAATGTGAGAGCTGGGTGCAGTACCCTGCCCCTGCACCACTTCCTGACCCCCTTCCTCCTCTCCTGCATCCATCCCTGCAGCCACCTCTCCCAAATCCTGCCCACTTCCTGCGTCCTGTCTGGTGTCCCCCCTGTCTTCTTGTGGCTGCCCTGATTGTCCTGGCCTCAGGAGGCTGAGATCTGATAATCCTAATCCAAAGCCAGCCTAGCATGAAACTATGGTCTAATCACTGAAAAGCCAGAAATAGAGTTACAGAATCATGGCTCTAGTGGTACAATGCTAGGCTTTAGGGGAGGAAAAAAAAGTACTGAGATCCAGTACCGACCCCCACAAAAAAGAACAAAACAGCAGATATGGATTGGGAATGTGGCTTAGTGGTGTATGAAGCCCTGGGTTTGATTTCTCAGTACCACATAAACAGAAAAAGCCAGAAGTGATGCTGTGGCTCAAGTGGTAGAGTGCTAGCCTTGAACAAAAGAAGCGCAGGGACAGTGCCCAGGCCCTGAATTTTAAGCCCTAGGACTGGAAAAACAAAACAACAAAATCCTCAGCAGATATGAAGTACGGCAGCTAGCTCCCTAAAAGGCAGAGCATGCCAAGTGGCCATCCCACTTCCCTGCCCCGCCAGCTCAAGCCCACGCAGGATGCTAGTCCCCTGTGCTACACAGTGGCAGGTGGCTGTGGACTGCCAAGAGCACAGCAACAGGAGCCTCGGCTTTGACACTGGAGTGATCAGGAACTGGGGATGGAGTGGGCACTGGAAGGTGGGCCCTCCCTGGATGGGCCAGGGGCTGCTAGCTGCTCTTCAAGGGTGCAAAAGCCCGGGCTAGTGTGGGGATCCCAGCAAGTTGCTGTGTTCATTATGAGTCCCCACCCTGCAAGTCCAGCATTAGGTTCAGCTGCAGCTAGGCAGCGCAGCGCAGCACAGCACAGTTGTGCCTCGTTTCACAATCATTGGGTATGGATTGGGGAGACAGGGGTTCTGGGATGTGGCTCCTGTGGCCAGGGTACAGCATGGTGGGGGGGGGGCGCCCCCTTGAGTCCCACCACAGCTCCTGGAGCCTGGTGCACAGAACAGAGTGGCTCCCACAGCCACAGGCCGCCCCACTGGCTGCTGCCGTGGTTGGCCTTGCTGTCCTGGACCTGAGTGTTTGCCAGCTTCCGAGCTGCCGCAAGGACAGGCTTCACCGGCTGTGGGCTCGGGCACACCTGGCGGGCAGAGAAGGGTGCCTGCTTTCCCACGCCTGACCAAGCCCTGCCTTGGTGGTGGAGGCAGGGAGGGTGCTGCCGAGTCACCTCGGAACCAGACTGCGCTGGGTGGAAGCTGGGAGCCAGAGCAACTGGGCTTGCACTTTGAAGGCCTGCTGGGGTCTGAACACTTACTGGTGCCTTGGACCTGGGGGGGGGGGGCGCACGGGGAGGGGCTGCAAAGTCACTCCTAGGGGCAGTGTTGGAAAGTCAGGCAGGAAGGTAGAGACTGACCTGGAAGGACCAAGGCCACAGGGGTAAGGCTCCCCCAGAGCCTGTGGCAAGAGGAAGAAAGAAAGGTGCTGTCTCTTTGAAAACAGGTTTCGGAGTGCACACCCTGGCACCGCCCTGGCTTTTATAGCCCTGTCATCCTGGAGAGACCTAGGTGGTGGCGCAGACCTACAGCGCCACCTGCTGTCCAAGATGGAAGAGGCAGAGTTCAAGCCCCACTACACCCCCTCATCCTCCCCACAAGGAGAAAAAAAAGTTGTTTGGGCTTTCCTGTCTGGGCTGGCTTCAAACTGTGACCTTCAGATCTCAGCTTCTTGAGTAGCTGATAATACAGGTGTGAGCTACCAACACCCAGTTCAAGCTGGCTTTTTCTGTTGTTTTTTTGTTTGTTTGTTTTGTTTTTTTGTCTGTCAGTCATGGGGCTTGAACTTTGGGCCTGGGCACTGTCCCTTCAGCAAGCACTTTACCTCTTGAGCCACAGCACCACTTCTGGTTTTCTGGTAGTTTATTGGAGATAAGACTTTCACAGACTTTCCTGCTCAGGTTGGCTTTGAACCACAATCCTCAGATCTCAGCCTCCTGAGTAGCTAGGATTACAGGCTTGAGCCACCGGCTTCTGTTTTGATGTGGGGCCTGCCAGAGCCATGATGGCTGCAGCCCTGCTGTCCAGGGGATGAGCCATTCAATGTTCAGTGTATATGAGATACACATTGTTCTCTGCTGGTAGTGCCTTCAGCCCCTGACTTTCCTTGGAGTCTGAGCTGGGGTCCTGGGGTCACTGGGGACAGGTAATAACAGACTTGAGGATCAGGGCTGCTTCCTTCTGAGCCTGTGAGGGAGCCTCTCCTGTGCCTTCTAGCTTCTGGCCAGAGGTGCCAGGCCCAGTGGGCCTTGTTTGGCTCTTGCCCCAGGCTCTGCCTCCATTTTTACGTGGCCAACTTTCCTTGACTTGATGTAGCTACTGCATTGCATAGCCCAATCTGCCCTCAAACTTCTGATTCCTTTGTCACTGTCTCCTGAGTACTGGGATTACAGGTATGCAGGTATACACCACTGTGCTTGAGTCTTGGCCTTATCAAGAACCAGCCACTGGGTATGGAGCTAACCTCTAGTTATCTCAATTACATTTGCAGAGACCCTGTTTCCAGATGAGGGTGTCCTCACAGGGGCCTGGGCTTGCATGGAACTAGGGGACTGGCTGGCCTCTCTCCCCTCCCTTCTGGCTCTAGCTGGCTCTCCGTGTGCTCCAAGCCACCCAACCCACTTTACTACTTCTTTGATCCTCATCCCCCAGGACCCCATGGGCCACCACATTCTGGGCATCTCTCAGAACCCACTGCCACAGGCCTTGCTGGCATCTGAACTTAAAAAAAAAAAAATTAAAGCCAGGCACTGGTGGCTCACTCCTGTAATCCTAGTTACTCAGAAGGCTGAGATCTGAGGATCACGGTTCAAAGCCAGCCCAGGCAAGAAAGTCTGTGAGACTCTTATCTCCAGTAAACCACTAGAAAACTGGAAGTGGTGCTATGACTCAAGTGGTAGAGTGCTCGCATTTGAGCTGAAGAGTGCAGGGACAATGCCTAAGCCCAGAGTTCAAACCTCACGACTGACCAAAAAAAAAAAAAAATTATTATTTTTTTGCTCATCCTGGGGCTTGACCTCAGGGCCTGGGGTGCTGACCCTGAGCCTCTCTGTGCTCAAGGCTAGTGCCATTCCACTGGAGCCACAGCTCTACTTCAGGCTTTTTCTGAGTAGTTTATTGGACATAAGAGTCTCACAGACTTTCCTTCTGGGGCTGGCTTTGAACTGCGATCCTCAGATCTCAGCCTCCTGAGTAGCTGGGATTACAGGTGTGAGCCACTGGTACTCAGTTTAGAATTTATTTTTGGTATGCATACCTGGAGCTGGTGGCCTTGAGCCTGTGGCTTCCAGCTGGCTCACTGCATGGGGGGGCCCCCTGGGTCTCCCAAAGTCAGGATTTCCATGGGAGACCCCACAAGCCCTCCCTGGTGGCAGCGTGGTGGGGTGCAGGAGCCCAGCTTGGGTCTTACGCGCTGCCCTCTCTCCCACAGGCTGGAGCAGCCCTACTTGAGTGCCAATGCCCAGTTCTTCCAGGCACTCAGCCACTGCGCCTCCCTGCAGCGCCTCTGCCTTGTGTCCCGCAGTGGCACTCTGCAGCCCGACGCTGTGCTGGCCTTCATGGCCCGCTGCCTGCATGTTGTCGTGTGCCACATGTTCACTGGTGACTCTCTGGCCACCTGCAAGAGCCTGCAGCAGTCTCTCCTCCGCAGGTGAGTAGTCCTGGGTGGCCTCCAAGTAGTCAGGGTGCTTTACACAGCACCATGGTCCCCAGACCGAGTGGGCCTGCAGCCCTGATCTCTTCTTGTGCCAGTACTGGGGCTTGAACTCAGGGCCTGGGCACTGTCCCTGAGCTTTTTCATTCAAGGCTGGTGCTCTTATCGTTTGAGCCACAGCTCCATTTCTGGCTTTTGGGTGGTTAATTGGATATGAGAGTCTCATGGACTTTTCGTGGTCAGGCTGGCTTGAAACTTGATCCTCAGATCTCAGGCTCCTAAGTAGCTAGAATTATAGGTGTGAGCCATCAGCACCCAATGATTTCTCTCTCTCTCTCTTGCCAGTCCTGGGGCTTGAACTCAGGGCCTATGCACTGTCCCTGAGCTTCCTTTGCTCAAGGCTAGCACTCTAACACTTGAACCACAGCACCACTTCTGGCTTTTTCTGTTTATGTGGTATTAAGGCATTGAACCTAGGGTTTCATGCATGCTAGGCCAGCACTCTACCACAAAGCCATATTCCCAGCCCCCAATGATCTCTTCTTTAGAATGGTTCAAGCACTTCCCCATTAGGTACAAAAATTAAGTATTTGCCTACACTGAAGTCTCCAATAACTTTTTTTTTTTTTTTGGTTGGTGTGTGGCTTGAACTCAGGACCTGGACACTGTCCCTGAGCTTTTTTGCTCAAGGCTAGCATTCTACCACTTTGAGCCACAGTGCCACTTCCAGTTTTCTGGTGGTTAATTGGAGATAAGGAGTCTCATGGATTTTCCTGCCCAGGCGGTTTAAACCGCAATCCTCAGAGCTCAGCCTCCTGAGTAGCTAGGATTACAGGCGTGAGCCACTGGTGCCTGGCTCCAGCCACTTTGTCTTTTTAAGTAATTCTGGAAAATTTGTCTGTCCCTCATATGGTGATCAAAACAACACAATATGTAGTCTACTAAGCCCTTAGGTCCTGCAGCTTCCTGCAAGTGTCACACCTCTCTGTCCTGGCATGGCATTTAGATCTGACCTGTGCCACTCATGGGGATGTCCCTCCTGAGCCTTCTCCAGTCCATGGCCCTCCTCAGCTCACTTTGGCTCTTTAGCACTGCTCAGATGATAAGGTTTTTGGGTTTTGGCAGTACTGGGATTTAAATTCAGGATCTCACACTTGATCTTGTTTGGCTGATGCTCTAGCACTTGAGTCATGCCTCCAGCCTTGTTTTTTGCTTCCAAGTAGGGTTTAAAGGTTTCCCTCACCCCTGTTCTGGGGCTTGAATTCAGGGTCTGGGCACTGTTCCTGACCTTTTCTGCTTAAGGCTAGTGTTCTACCACTTGGTCCACAGTGCCACTTCTGGCTTTTTGGTGTTTAATTGAAGATAGACTTAGCTGCTAAGGCTGGCTTCAAACAGCGTTCCTCAGATCTCAGTCTACTGAGTTGCTAGGATTATAAGCTTGAGCCACTGACACCTGGTCTGATTATTTATTTATTTATTTATTTTTTGTCCGTCATGGAGCTTGAATTCTTGGCCTGAGCGCTGTCCCTCAGCTCTTCAGCTCAAGCTAGTGCCCTATCACTTGAGCCACAGCACCACTTCTGGTTTTCTAGTGGTTTATTGGAGATAAGAGTCTCACAGATTTCCTGCCCAGGCTGGCATTGAGCTGTGATCTCAGATCTCAGCCTCCTGAGTAGCTAGGATTACGGGTGTGAGCCACTGGTGCCCAGCCTGATTAATTATTTTTGAGATAGGAGTCTTACTTCTTGCTTGGGACAGTCTGAACTTTGGTCTTCCTATTTTACAGTTGTGGCCATAGCTGGAATGGTAAGTGTGTACCTCTATGCCGAGCCCTTTCTGTTGAGATGGGATCTCCTGAATTGTTGCCTATGCTGGTCTTGAACCTGGATCCTCTTGATCTCAGCCTTCCACGTAGCTAGGATTACAGGAGTGAGGCAGTTTGGCCTGGCTTCCTTGTGGCATTTTTAGTGTTTGGTGTCCAGTGATGGTGGTCGTGTTATATCTGCTGGGGCCATGAGGGACAGCAGAACTGCTGTGTCCCTGACCTCCCTTCATTCCAGATACTGACGTGTCCAGCTCTAGGGTGGGAGCAGCCCTAGGGGCTGGTGAGGAAGGTCTGGCACAACCTGCCCCCTGACTGCTCCGTGTCTGGGTGTCTTTGTGATAGAAGACGCAGCTGACGTTTGCTGAGGTGCAGCATTCGCATGGCTACACAACACTAGCTCTGCAGTGCTCCCTCTAGTACCTTCCAGCTCCTCTGCTTTCTCCCTGTGTGATTGTACAGAGAGCAGAGGCCCGGGGCCCTCCACTGCGGAGAGACCTAGTGGATATGGCTGCTATAGGACTTTCGGCCAGACTTGTTGGCTCCCTTCAAGAGGGTATGTTGGCTCATACCTGTAATCCCAGCTACTCTGGAGGAGGAGATCCAGAGGATCTCAGTTCTAGGCCATCCCAAGCAAATAGATTCCCTCTCTTCCCCCCCTCCCCCCAATCTCAACAGACAAACCAGGCATGGTGGTTCATGTTTGTCATTCCAGGTACGTAGGATGCATAAGTAGAAGGATGACAGTCTGAGTCTGGTGCAGGGCAAAAGCACAAGACCCTACTTGAAAAATACGTAAAATAGAAAGGAATGGCGGTGCGGCTGCCTAGCAACCTCAAGGCCTTGAGTTCTCAGTACTGCCAGTGACAAAATATCAGACCCAGCCTATAAGGGAGATTGCTTTGCCCCACACCTTGGGGACCTGTTTTGGAAGCTGCTGGATTTTTTTTCCCTTCTGTAATCTTCTGGCTGTCTTCTCCAAAGCAGAGAACAATCACCAAGAAGTTCAGTCCAGGTGGCTGCCTGCCTTCTGATCCTCAGAATCCTCCCAGCACAGTGACAGGCCTAGGTGCCATCCGTGGCCTTGCTGCCTGTTCCTGGTCCATTCACACAATGGTGTCTGCTGTGCTGCCGCCTGGGCCTGCTGGCTCACCGGCCTGGTGGAGAGTTACTCTCCTGGAAGCCCCCTGGTCTTCCTGTGGCCAGCAGCTCCCGGCTCCTGGCCTTCCCTGGGGTGTGTGGCGCCTCCCACCGAATGTTAAATACTTTACACCTTTTTTCGAGTTTTGGGACTGAACACAGGGCCTTGCCTGTGCCAGCACGCCTAGCATCTTTGCATCCTCTCAGACCCTTACTTTTCTGAGGCTGGCACTCAGTATCTGTCTGTGTACATTTTGTGCCCTGTGTGGTGCTAGGTTCACTGGGCTTAGTGGCTTCTGGACACAGGGACACCTGAAGTGCCATGGTGGTCCTGGAGTGGTGCTCAGTGACCCGAGGCTAGCCGTGGCCACGTGGACTCTTGGGCAAAAGGGGAGCAGTCCTCCTGGGCTCTCTTTCTGTTCTGCCGCGGCACAGCATCTGGAAACACAGGACACTTGTTAAGACGGGTGGCAGTGCCAGCCAGCTGCCAGTGTTCCTACAATGCCCAGGGGGTGTGCTGTGAGAAGCACTGTTCCTCAAGCCAGGGGCTATGTTGTCCAAACTCCAGGAAAGCCCCAGCTCACAGATGGGGAAACAGGCTCCAAGAAGTGAAAAGTTGAAACTCCAGGCGTCAGCAAGAAAGACAGGATTCATGTCAGAAGGGAGAGGAGCCAGGCCTGTGATCCCAGCACTTGGGAGGCTGAGTAAGAAGGATCATGAGTTTGAGGCCAGTCTGAGCTGGCCTCAAATGGAGTAAGTGCAGGCCCTGCAATTTGGTGTGTGGGGTCTCCAGGCCCAAGTGCGATGGGCCCAGACTCAGGGCCTGCAGAAGCCTTCCTTTTTCTCCCTGGTCCCCAGGTCTCAGGAGTCCAGCTGAGCCAGCTGCTGTTCTGTAGGGTCCCAGCAGATGGCGCCATGGCCCTCAGCTGCCCAGCTGTGGCTAGCACCTCCCCAGACCCACCTTGCACAAGGAGGGTATGAAAAGCAGCTTTAAGTTTCTTGTCCTGTTTCCTGCTGCCCTTCCTCCCTGCACCCTTTTTCTGCCTCAAAAGCACACAGAAGCCAGGCTCTGGTGGCTCACACCTGTAATCCTAGCTACTCAGAAGGATGAGATCTGAGGATTGCAGTTCAAAGCCAGCCTGGGCAGGAAAGTTCCTGAGACTCTTATCACCAATTAAACTACCAGAAAACTGGAAGTGGTG